CTAAAGATAAATCAATCACCCGTATTCAGTGTGAGGACGAATGAAAAAAAAAACTGGAAATCATTGAACACTTCTACAAAGAGCAGCTTCTGCCTCACATCTTCGGACAGACAAGGTCATGAGGTAAGGTGTGATTGTCCTGGATTAATAAAAACCGCATCCTCAGTTTTTAATGGTGGATAGATAGGAGCGGAAGCAAACATTTGGATCAAACTTGAAATGAAATTAACCTTCTGGTTTTAAATTATTTTTACTTATAAATTGCCACAAAACAATATTGTGTCAGATTGATTAATGGAAGATGACGGACATCTAAAGGCAGAAGTTTCAAAGATGAACACAGAAAATGAACATCTGAAGGTAGAAAGTGATAAACTGATGATAGACCAAGAGAAACAGCACAATACACAGGCTCCTCGAATTAAGAAAATGAATACTCGACAGCGTGAAATAAAAAGCTGAAGGTAGAAAACGAACAGCTGAAAGCAAAATTTAAAGGTCTGAGGGAAAACTTGAAATAATTCGGTTTCCCCTAACCATAAGCCCAAGTTTCTGCATAGCAAACCGACGGAAGAGACCTTTTACCAAAGGCTGAGCTTGATTTTCCCCAATGGAGTAGCGATGTAGTTCTCAGCTCCCACGCCTACGCCGAATCCAAGAAAGTTGGCGGACGCTTTCACCGGAATGATTCCACAGAAGGCCACTGAAGCTCCAGTGTTCAAATTCGGATTGAGTTCAAGCGATACCGGTCCGGCTTCAACTCCAGCTTTGGCCAAGCTCAACTCGGTGGAAGCGCTTAGTTCCGTGAGACATGTGGGTTCACGGTCTAAACGGTCTTCTGTCGACCATTCGCTAAAATCATCGCGAAGTTGTCGCATTTCCGCTCCGGCCCCTGCGCAGGGCCCTTCGGCATACGCTCCGAATATCCAGGAATTAGCTTCTGCCCGTCCAGTAGTCGCCTTGGCATATACACCACTTTTTTCAAATATGGCTCCTCCTCGATGCTTACTATCATCGTAATCGCCAGCCTCGCATTTTGGACCGCTGGCCCAAGCTTCGGTGGGTCGATCACAGTTCTCTGCCATGTTCAACATTCCACCCATCACATTGACGTTGGATTTGATGCCCCTTTTGCTGTATGTGTTTGTATGATTACGGAGATCCTTGGACGACATGTCTTCCGGTATCCTCAAGCCGTCTTGCTTAAATTCTAAGCATGGGATGCAAGAACACTAGAAAAAAAAAAAGCCACAGCTGGAAGTCTCGGGGTAATTTCTGAGTCTCCTTGGCCAGTACTACAGGGAATCCTTAGGAACCGGGGGCTCGAAATAGTCTCTGCTTCGGCACTACGATGGCGTTGGATTGAGGGAACCAAGAACACGAGTCTTCAGAAGGGTCCGTTGTCACAGGCTAGAAATGGCAGGAGTGTTTCCACGTGGAATATCACGAACAAGGTCGTCAAGGGATGCAAATTCGGGGTAACAAAAAAGGTTCTGTCACGCCTGGTAAGAAATGGAGAAAAACGAGACTTTAGCTGGGGGTAAAACGGGGTCAGGACCAGCAGGATGTCTTCAAAATGCCTTATTAATTACGTAAGAAAAAGAGGAAAGTGGGAAGAAGGCGATTTAATGGAAGGTGACAGATCCGTAGTTTCATTGGAGGCTATAGGGGAACATGGATATCATCTAGTGAGGGCTCTTGGTATTTCATTATGATCACGCCTAGACTACACTACCCTAGAAACATAACGTCCATAAGAGGAAGCAAGACGACACCGCGATGACCGTAGGATAACTGGAAATGGTATAAATATTTGTTTCCGAATAAAAAAAAATTCAATATTCAAATACATATTAATAGACGGCATACAATTCAATAGTCTAGGAGTCTAATTTTTTCAACACTGAAACCATGATGCGGGAGGTTGATAGTACATCCGAAAACCCGTTGGAGAGGTCCAACTCTTCGTCATTTTAAGAGGGGTTAACAATGATGCCACATCTAATACATGTAATCCGAATATTCCCCAATTGGAACCCACAATGTGATGTGACGACATTCCGTCAACATTGAAACAATGTTCACCTTCAACCCTCAACATTCGTGCACTCAATCTACATCCAATCAATGTTGATTCAATGTTCTATGTTACCCGGGTTAGTATGTCACTGTGCTCCTCCATTTAATTCCAGTACAAATAAAACCCTTATTTAAAGAGAAAGAGGAAATAAAGTCACAGTCTGTATCAGATAATTTCATTGGGATTCAAGAATTAGCTATCGATCAATGCATACTTTGGAAGACATAAATACCTGGAAGGTCCCAGTTACAAAAAAAAATCTGCATTAATATTCGCACCAATCTAATATAGTTCATCTAAATATGTTTTTTAGAAATTCCTTGATAATAACTTCCTTCACTTAATTTTGTTGATCAATCTAATTAAAACTGGTCTTATTATTTAAATTCTTTTCTAGAATGGGTATTTAGTAATCCACATAACATCATATGCAAAATGCCTCATTGGTGCGTGTACTAGGTGATGTTGAAAGACTTAAAGAAAGGATTTCCCAGTACTTCCTCCCCTTGAAAATGTACAATTTCTCCTTCAGATGTCCCGTTTCACTTTACTCATAGCTATCTAAGCTTATGTAAGTCATTTCCATAGAAATACTGGTGTGTTTCTGCTTTTCCAAAAAGCTAGTTCAGTGGTGTATGCTAGCCTAGCACAAAAGTTTAGATTACCTACCCCACTTTCCATTGATAAAATCATGGAAAACCACTCATCATTACAATATATTATTTAATTTCTTGAAAGTCAAAGTACCCATTACGTTGGCAAAGGCAGTGGCGAAGGGAATGGTGGGGGGGGGGGGGGGGCGGCTGAGGGGTTAGAAACCCCCCCCACGCACCCTTGGCCTTAATGGTAAGTGACAGACAGGCATATTTCATCCTTCTTTGGGAATTCTAGTTTTACCTACGTCCCCTTCGAGGAAAGTCTGAGGTCCGTCCACAGACACAAGATGCCAGAACAAGATTTCTTCGAAAAGGTAAATTCCAGGTTGCGGAGCTAGGCGGACGAAGCGGAATCTCCCACTGATATAATAACAAAGGAGAGTCAGTCAGGAGAGTCAGGAGAGTTAGTGATATCAATAGGCGATTTCGCCCATTTCGATATCACGTGTCGAGGTCGAGCGTTCCTTNGGGATAGGATCGGATCGGTGGTGTGCTCCGAGTCGGCCGAGGAAGTGTCGGTGGTCCTTCACGTAGGGACCAACGATACTCCTAAGTCTGGCTCTGAACTCATCATGGGCAGACTGAGGCAGGCTATTAGGGCGTGTCGGAAGGCAAGGTCGGGAGTGCGGGTGACGGTATGCGCGATCCCGAGCAGGCTAGACAAGGGAGGAATCACGTGGTCCAGGTCGGAAGGGGTTAACGACAGGTTCAAGGAGGTATGTGTCGCGGAGGGGGCAGTGTTTCTGGACACTAGGGAGGCTTTGAGTCGCTGTAGAAGTCCGATGGCTAGATCTCACAACATTTCTCCTATCCAGATTGTTCCTGTAAGTCACATCAATTGTACCAATTGCTGCTCATTGTGTTCCTTCATTGTGGGTACTTTAAAATGAAGTAGACTTCATAAATGAATCCATGAGGGCCTGTCTGGTCTGTTTCATCTCTCCCAATCTGCCAATATATGGTCAAAAGTAACATCGGTACCGTTCCTCAAAAAGTAATTGCAGGATAAATTGGAGTCTCACAGGATCAAGTTTAGGACGAGTAAGGGTTTTTTTTTGGAAGAGAGGAGCGAGTATTGGTTACCGGCAATATGTCGATGGAATTCCTGGAGCCTCTTTCACGGAATTTATAAGTTCCACAAGTCAAAAGTTAGTAGTATTAATACTTGCAAGTTCAAATCTATATCCATATCTATGATATGGATATGGATTTGAAACGTTTGACCTTGACATGGGATGCCTGGCAGAAATACCTATAATCATCCCCGCATGAATCTTGAAACCTCAAACCAGCAACCAGGCATTTATTAATGAAACTTAATCGGGGATTATAATGGAATTACTCAATGGACTTTGGCAACGAGAAGAAAATAACGATCATGACATTTGTGATTCGAAATACAAACACGAAAGTGCCAATCTAGCTTACCTTGCAATTCTGATCCTCTTTAAATGAATGCCCTGTTGCTGAGGAGAGAGAGAGAGAGAAAAAGGCGATGACATGAATAGGCGTGATGGGGGGGGGGGGGGGGTTGAGGCTAGATAGACTCCCCAACCCTACGCATAGCTCCACTATCAGGGGTGTCCCTTATGATGCCACGTGAGGCTGACTCAAGGAGAGTTCCATGGAAGTTGTGACTTGAATCCCATGACTCATTAAGGATCTTCCATGTAGCTAGAGCCACCGCCTTCCAACAGTACCCTTCGCACTTGTCCCGCCCAGCAAGAGCAACCCAACTCCTCTCTGTATCTTCTCTCTATCACTCTCTGCTCTCACCTCCTTGATCTAAATGTCAGTGATTCATGTCTCCATCTCCCTCTCTCTCTCATTCTGGTACCACACCACAGTTGTATACTTCTCTTCGTAGATGCCTCCCCTATCTATGTCATCTCTCTCTCTCTCTCTCTAGCAGCACTCTAATATTGTGACGCCTACCCAGCCAACCCATGTGGGTGGCCCATTCCAGGTGTGTCGTTGGAATCTCACTTGCACCGAGGGCGTGGTTCAATATAAGATCAGTCCCTCTCTAAGCCTGATAATATCTACTTAAAACTTTCAAAGGAGCTTTTATAAAAGACAATAAAGCTTAGGCCTATAAAAGATAAATAGTAAAAAGGGCCACTCAAGGGGGGGTTAACAACACAATGCCACAGAAGGCAAGCCAATACATTCAAGGCCAATAGGATATAAAATATAAAAGGAAATAAAATATAGACGAAGCGGCGTGCAGGTGGGGAGAAACAACCAGTCCCATCACAGTCCAATCAGTGAGACGCGTTGGGAGGAGCTTCAGCCTGATCCAGAAGGCGAAAACCCAAATCCGGTCCCGGCCCGATCAATGCAACGGGCTGCACCACGACCCTCGCCGAGGCCGAGCCGACCTGCCCTCCGCCATGCCCAAGCAGCACGCCTTCCTCTATTCCTTTTCTCGCTTCCGGCCATGCCGGCATTCCCCAGTGTTGCCCCGCTCTCAGGGACCAAAAGCCACTCAAACACTACAATATCCCATTCTCATCAGTCACAATATTTTGCATCTCCGAGACTTGGTAAAAAGACCTAATCGGGAAAAGGAATTAGTTCAACCCTATGAACCGAGTCTCCTCAGAACGAGGACAATATATTTCGAAACGACTATGCCGAATCATGCGCGAATGTGTTGAGTCTCCTCTGACCAAGAACGATTTGACTGAGGCCATGTTGAAGTATCATGCAGCAATCGACTGCGTTTCTCCTGCATGCCTCTTTCATCGTCTACGATCACGAGCTGCTTTCCTCAGTCAATGGTGTGATGGAATAACCAGATAACACCTACATCGCCTTTCCAGGTGACCACAGGGGGTGACCTGAGAGAGCCAGCAATCGACTCCAAGGCCCTTTCTTGAAAACGCTCACAACAATTATAGAGCGGAATTTTGATCAAGGGGAGTCGATTTTTATGTTCCCGTAGTACCTTAAGTCAAATGTGGCAGCCCTAACAATGACTCGGTGATGAACATACAAGACATTGCACGACATGATCAAGGGAGACGAGCGAGGGAAAGGGATCAAAAAGAGACAGACCCTTCCACGCGGACGTATTCCTTGTAGTTGAATCGATATATCATTCTTAAAACTTGACGTATGAAGGGTTCACACAAAGAAAGCGTGAACCAGTGAAGACGAAAGAGTAATTCGGTACATAGCATCATGAATGGGAATATTTAAAAAAGCGACGAAGTAGAGGGGACGGAAGAGTTAGGCCTATGTCTTGTAACGTCCACGCATTCACACGTCGAGACGGCGAGACAGGAGACAATAAGGCGGGTGCCAGGCACGTCCTGGCAGAGAGACTCGGGGGAAGGGGAAGAAGGAAGGAGTAGGTGCGAGAGGATTGAGCGAGGGAGGGAGAGGGCGCGTGAGTGGAGAGGGGTGGGGGGGAATCCGGAACCGGGAACAGCCGGCTGGCTCGGCGTAAATTTTCCTACCGATTCTGTTTAAAATATTATCTCCTAATGAGTGTAATGAATTTCACAGATTTGGTGTCAATCAAATTCTTATACATATCCCTACAATTTATGGTAAGTTATTTGGGAATCCTCATGCTTAGAGAGGGGAAACAGCACATAATATAGCTGACATGCCGTAAAATTTCAAACATCGGTTCAGTAAAATCGTGAAGGATCTGAGGTGGATGAACGGATTCGCTTGAAAATGGTTCTGAAGCTTCCCAAGAGGCTTTCCCACAGATTCGAGAGTTGATTTTTTTTAGATTCGCTCTCGTTCTCGAGAAATGACCATGAATCTGGGGTACTATGGAAAAATAGTGGGATTTTGAGGTATATCATCGAAAACGGATCGACGAATCAATGTGCCCTTTGACACGAAGACGGACGAGCATAGTCTCCAAAAACTTGAGTATGCTTTTTCCAGTACAATGTTTCTACGGAGAATGAGCGAGGGAAGAAGCGGAAACGCGAATTTTCACAAAAGGCGCCACGGCGTCTCGGGAAGCAGAGAGATGAGCAAATTTTTGGGCTCGTAATTAAACATGTTCAGTGGCGAGAAAAATGGCGCAAATTTGACGTTTCTGCGACCAAGGGTTGTGGAGATACAGATTTTCAAAGAGTGGCATGCAAATCGTGACCTTTCACCATTCGCCACGGTCAGGTGCTTCACCTGAGAGAGTCAAAAAGTGGCTTCAAAGCCCTCCCTTGTTGTCCTCTACAATAATTATAAGCCAGAATTTGATTCTATGGGGGTCGATTTTCATCTTCCCTCAGTACCTGAAGCTGATTCATACAGATCTAATGTGAAGTTGGAGGTAGCTATCAGGAAACTTATGAATACTGCTACACAGGGCCGGATTAAGAAGTTGCGAGGCCCGGGGCAACTGCCCCCTTTGTCCCCCCCCCCTTAATCCGGCCCTGCTGCTACAAAATAGCCAGGCAACAACTAACTCACGACTTAGCGGACAGAACCTCGAGAGTATCCTCCAACACGTCCTCACGCTACGAACGCTCGACCAAGACTGAGCTGAAGAACGATCTTCTGAGGTCGCAGGTTGAGTCAGACCCCGCTCAAACCATCCAACTATCTGCAGAAAACTTAATTCTTCATGGTCGAGTGTTCAAGAACACCTTCGCCAGATCGGGAAGGTAAATACACAAAGCGTTTGGGTTTCACACCAACTTTCGGCCGAAAGCGTTTTTTTCACCAGACTAGACCCATGAACGGGCCTGTGTCGTTTGGCAATGTTAAGCCAATAAAGGGGAACCAACTTAGTGGCAAGAAAGGGCTTATGTCCTCCACCAATGAAGTGCCGAAAATGGCTAGCCAAGCTAGAGCCTGTAATGGGCCAAACATGGGTGCCAATGCCGATGATCTGCCGAGCATGCCCTGCACGGGCCATTGATGGACCAAGCTTTTTGGTTCTGTGGGTAACTTTAAGAGGGGTAGGTCTATCTTCAGACCAACACCTCTTAGAGTGTGTGGATCTATGATATGGATATGGATTTGAAACGTTTGACCTTGACATGGGATGCCTGGCAGAAATACCTATAATCATCCCCGCATGAATCTTGAAACCTCAAACCAGCAACCAGGCATTTATTAATGAAACTTAATCGGGATTATAATGGAATTACTCAATGGACTTTGGCAACGGGAAGAAAATAACGATCATGACATTTGTGATTCGAAATACAAACACGAAAGTGCCAATCTAGCTTACCTTGCAATTCTGATCCTCTTTAAACGAAGGCGCAGGAGGGGTGGGTGATCTACGGTATATCTCAAAGAAATTTTAAGAACGTGCCTCAATCTAAAAAAAATGCGCCCCAGGGCATTTAATGTTGGATTTTCCAGAAGTCTGTACGGTAAAAACTAGTCGTTTGCCAAATTTCATCTTTCCTTCATATCTGTAACATTGGTAAAATCAGCGTCAGTCACTCAGACGTTCAGTCATTTACGATGAGGACATGTGCGACGAGAGATAGTGNCGTCGAGACGGCGAGACAGGAGACAATAAGGCGGGTGCCAGGCACGTCCTGGCAGAGAGACTCGGGGGAAGGGGAAGAAGGAAGGAGTAGGTGCGAGAGGATTGAGCGAGGGAGGGAGAGGGCGCGTGAGTGGAGAGGGGTGGGGGGGAATCCGGAACCGGGAACAGCCGGCTGGCTCGGCGTAAATTTTCCTACCGATTCTGTTTAAAATATTATCTCCTAATGAGTGTAATGAATTTCACAGATTTGGTGTCAATCAAATTCTTATACATATCCCTACAATTTATGGTAAGTTATTTGGGAATCCTCATGCTTAGAGAGGGGAAACAGCACATAATATAGCTGACATGCCGTAAAATTTCAAACATCGGTTCAGTAAAATCGTGAAGGATCTGAGGTGGATGAACGGATTCGCTTGAAAATGGTTCTGAAGCTTCCCAAGAGGCTTTCCCACAGATTCGAGAGTTGATTTTTTTTAGATTCGCTCTCGTTCTCGAGAAATGACCATGAATCTGGGGTACTATGGAAAAATAGTGGGATTTTGAGGTATATCATCGAAAACGGATCGACGAATCAATGTGCCCTTTGACACGAAGACGGACGAGCATAGTCTCCAAAAACTTGAGTATGCTTTTTCCAGTACAATGTTTCTACGGAGAATGAGCGAGGGAAGAAGCGGAAACGCGAATTTTCACAAAAGGCGCCACGGCGTCTCGGGAAGCAGAGAGATGAGCAAATTTTTGGGCTCGTAATTAAACATGTTCAGTGGCGAGGAAAATGGCGCAAATTTGACGTTTCTGCGACCAAGGGTTGTGGAGATACAGATTTTCAAAGAGTGGCATGCAAATCGTGACCTTTCACCATTCGCCACGGTCAGGTGCTTCACCTGAGAGAGTCAAAAAGTGGCTTCAAAGCCCTCCCTTGTTGTCCTCTACAATAATTATAAGCCAGAATTTGATTCTATGGGGGTCGATTTTCATCTTCCCTCAGTACCTGAAGCTGATTCATACAGATCTAATGTGAAGTTGGAGGTAGCTATCAGGAAACTTATGAATACTGCTACACAGGGCCGGATTAAGAAGTTGCGAGGCCCGGGGCAACTGCCCCCTTTGTCCCCCCCCCCTTAATCCGGCCCTGCTGCTACAAAGTAGCCAGGCAACAACTAACTCACGACTTAGCGGACAGAACCTCGAGAGTATCCTCCAACACGTCCTCACGCTACGAACGCTCGACCAGGTCTCTCTCTTCCTCTGTTTACAAATTCTTGGTGGTTGGTGTCCCTTCCCCTCTCTCTTTCTACTCGTGCACTACAATTGTAAGCTCGCCTCTCCTGATGTCGCACCGGATCTTATCTGCGTCTCTCTCTCTCTTCAGCAACAGGGTCATCACCCCTGCAACGGTACCCATCATGTCTGTAATCCATGCTTCCTTCCCAGCAACAGGGCCCTGCCCTGCCCTGCAACGGCGCCCTCATCTTCGCCGATCATGTGAAGCTAAAACTCTCTCCTTGTACTCTCACTCTTGCAACTCAACTTCTCCCAGCCTTTCTCTCCATGGCCTTACTCAAACTCAATTACTTAATTATCTGGGAAAGCAGGGAGCCTGATGATGTTCTTGACAGCTGGCACCTGTCAGTCAGACTGACGCCCGTGACGCGAGCAAGCATGCCCCCCAAGACGAGTGGAAAGGCCGACAAGAAAACAAAAAAAAAACACCACTTTCATGGAATTTTCCTTGAGTCAGCCTCATAAATACACTTTCGTTCACTGATAAGGTTAATGCTGGGTTTGCATACGCTCTGGTCCAAAAGGATGTCTCTTTCGACTAACCAAGAGGAGAAACCTTCCGTCTCGTCACCGTAGAGCGACGACTCTGGGGACATAGTGCCCGGACATAATGCCCCAAGAGAAGTTTGATTAAGCTTCTCTTCTTCAAGCGGAAACTTTGGCGGACAAACAGGATCTACCACTGATGCAACAGCAACGGATTGAGCGCAGCGAGAAGCGGCACAGGCGAGAGTTCTCTATCGAATCGGTTGCTCTAGCTACGAGGAAAATCCTTTAGAGAGTCATGGAATTCGTGCTAGCGCTGACTGGGAACTTTCAACGAGTCAGCCTCACACGGTGTCATAAGGGACTTGTTGGTCTCAATTGTCGGCATCGGCATTGACCTTTGACACTGTGACGGTCTACCGCGTGCACAAGGATTCCTGATATCGGCAATACAATTGTTTATCTCGGCTAACAAAGCCAATAAATGACAATTGTTGTGCCTCGACTAAAATATTATTTTCCTTCTTTTCAGGTAGTTGATGTTGCGAGACTCCAGTGCAACATCCCAACAGATGATGGCACTTCCCAATGTCAATACAGGCCGACATAACCGAGGTAAAAAAAAAAAAGGTCGCGTGGCGTCGTTGCTCGTGGTTTGAATGTTCGGTTGGCTTTTGATTCGCCACGATGACTTTTGATGGCATCACATCGATGCCTTTTCCCTTCAGTGAAGGCGAATCGACAAAACATATGGCAACTATTGCATAAAAGCAATCGATTGCCCAGAAACCTTTCTTCTGGGCTGCACTGCACAGGATGATATCTAGTTGAAAAAATACATGAAACCTTTAACCCTTTCAATGTTACATTCTTGTACTTTATGCCTTCCTGTGCTGAGCTTTTCGCTTTTGGTGCAATATTGTGGAGCCCAACTTAGGCTAAATACATGCACTGTACGTTCCCTCATTTAGCTTAGTGTAAGTCTAAACCGGACTGGTTCAGATGACCCAAAAAAATCTCAGGTAAGAAGCACACCATCTCCAGGCTCGATTCGATTCGATCGCAGCATCGAAAGGGTCGAGTAAGGCACAAAAACCCAGCGGATTCAATGAAGTTTATTCCTGATCGTCTCGAGAAAAACAGCTTTCATCCGACTCAGGAATCCCCGATACCAGGAGTAGACCCGGCGACGGTCCTCTCGCCGCCGCTCCTCGGATTTCAGTCTCTCTCTCCCGAAGAGGTCGGGGAGGCGCCTCCAGTCGCGGATCCAGACGACCGGGGCGCCGTGGGCCTTGAGCAGGCGGAGGGGGGAGTCGTCGCAGTCGCCGCCGGGGCGAGGGTCCTCCACGACGGGGATGCTGCCGCAGGACAGGGCCTCGTAGATGCGGTAGCTCTCGGGGTTGGTGCCGGAGGGGCAGAGGGTCAGGTGGGAGGACTGCAGGGTCTTCACGTACAGGGTCAGGGTTTCCTCGGACTCCTCGGGTTCCCAGCTGGAATGGGGATTCGGGGCTCTCTTCATTTCGACGTGATACAGGGTATCGGAGGAAAGGGATCAGGTGTGAGAAACGACAATTTTCAAGGATATGGGACTCGAAGGTTTCATTCGAGAGTCTAGGAGTCTCACTTTTCCCTAATGTGAAGGAATACGTCTTCTGGTGACTCGGAAGCGACTTCCACGAGGACTTCCCTCGAGGAATTCTCGTACACCGTCCCGATGAAGTTGGCGAAGAACTTCCGGCGCCTCTCGAGCTGCTCTCCCGAAGAAATGCATCTCTTGGGGAAGCCTCGATACCTTTTCGCGAGATTCCACCACTTTCGATCCCGGGAATGCCGAGAGAACGACGATCAGCGGGAAGCAACTCACGTGGCAACGCCCAGAGGCCACTGGAACACGCTCTCGCCGTCGACCATCCTGGAGTCGTAGACCAGAAAAACGAAGTCCAACCTCCCTCCGTTCGACCGAAGGTGAGGCGCGAGCCAGGAATTCTCGCAGGACTCGTTCCCGAGCACGACCGCCCCCGTCCTCTTCAGATTCGGCAGGGACTCGAGGAAGGAGAGCCACCGCCGCGCCGCCTCGCGCTTCTCCTCCGTCCGCCCGTTGAGGACGAGCACGAGCCGCTCCACGGCGTGAACCGGGACGTGACCCGGGATGACCTTCGGGCCCGACCGGAACTTGAGGAGGTCGCGACCGAACCCCCTCGCCCCGAACGTCCACAGCCCGTCTTCCCTCTCCTCGAGCGACGCATTCAGCACGTGCTCCCAGAGGAAGTGCCCGATCGCCGCCTTCCCCCAGATCTCCGTCACGACGTCGACGGGCGGCCTGGGCCTCGGAGCGACCCCCGCGTCCTCCACGCATTCGGGTTCCTTCCACACCAAGGCGGCGACGAGCACCGCGACGACCCCCCCAACCGACCAAGGCAGAAGCCCTCGCATTGCATCGCGGTAACACTCAAGGGGCTTGCGAATCGCCTTCGACTCGATCGATCCCTACGGTCATCGAGGAAGTTTCCCTCTTCGGGACAGGAGTCAGTCGAGCGGGCTTCGAGCCCCCAAGACCTGTAAAATATTCAGACCTTTCTTTTGCGCCGAACCGGAAATCCCTGTCCTCGGTGTCGTTTTGTGATTTTCGCGCGGCCCGTCAGCCTACTTTGCTAGTACAATTCTCATTGCAAATCCATTCATTCTCGTACCGATTGCTAAGACATAAGTGGTTTCTGAGGCCTGAATGATTATGGTTCCACTTTGAAGGCGCAAAGAGAAGTGAATTGCAAAGAGAACTGAAATTTTTTTTTTTCATCTAAATTTTAATGTAAGCCAGGAGAAACTCGAGTTGACAGAATAAAACACTCTCTGTTTTCTGAAAGATAAAACCCTGGTAGTAGCCCTCAAAATCGTCTGTCAAGCAAGAAGAATCATTCTTGCTCTGAGGAGAGTTTTTGCTTTCACACACAACTGACATCTGCCGTCAATAAAACTCTGCTTTTATTTGATGATAAACTAAATAATCAAAATATAATAAAATGATGGGATGGTTGGACGATTGGCATGAGAGAAGCAATCGATGGTCACAAAAAGGCACCCAATGAAAGCCTAAGGCACTGCTAGACGGTCACTCCCAGATCCCCCAAGATGTCCGATAGGCGCTCCTTGTATCGCCTCAAATGGGCTTCGTCCTCGCAGCCCGGAAGCTTGCTCTGATGGATCAGGGTCAGCACGTTCAGATATTCCGTCTCGGAGAACTGAGCCCCTTTCTCCAAGATCCCATTCAGGATATCCTGCACGATTCATAATCGGCATCAGTAATCGACAATCCTCTCGACCTTCCTTCGACGGCAAAAAAAAATCGCACGAGATCGTCGACCTCACCGTCGGCGTATAGTAAAGGAGTTCGTAGTACTGTCTGGCTTGGTCCAGAGCAACCTCGCGCGTGTGCATGATGGACGTTAGGTTCTGCTGAAGGGCGAAGATGTTGCGACACATACGCTTCACTCCGTTCTCGTTGATACGACGGATGTGCCTGAGGCAGTTGATGAGCACGCTCGACATCAGGTGACCGAGGCCATCAAACACGTACTGCAACGCACCCAAACCTTCACTTTAGATACGGTCAACCTTCAGCACATTACCTCTTTTTGAGTATGAGACCTGGAGCTTCTGTTGCTGAAGCGTGGGAGCGAGCGCATCCTGGAGGCTGTAGATGTCCTTGTTGAGCCGGAGGATCTCCGGGTCCACGTCCTGTCGGTCCGAGGTCGGGGCCCACGTCCCTGACTGGGCCAAAGGCATTAAGTAGTAGAAGACGTGTACTCTCACCTGGAAAAAAAGGAAAATAATGCATGAGAATTTCACTTCAAAATCTTTCTCATTTTTTTGTGGCTTGGCTGAATACAAAACTGAGATGGCCTACAAAAAAAAAAAAACTAGTTTCATTAAAAATTGTTTAACAAAGAAAAAGTAATCATATCAAATAAATACATTTATGGCATGTCATGCAACAAAGTGGTTCAATTTGAAGTCTGTGAATTTTTTAGGGTTGAAAATGTGAATATTTCATGAATTTCATAAAATTGTAACTTTTGTCTAATTAAGGCACAGAAGAACCTGTAGAAAAAGTTAGAGAAGCCAGGTTACTCACTTTGAAATGAGCTATTAATCATATTTTTAGCTGAAGTAGTTTGGGAGATATTGCATTTGTTTGAGAGGTCACCTTACCATTCTCCCTCAAACTTTCATGGGACATATCTCAAAGACCGTTTGCCCAAGACAGTTGAAATGTTGGATTCATCTGTTTCTCATACACATGATTTTTAATGGCTAAATCCCAACCAACTTTGTGAAAATTGGACCACTTGACATGGAACAACTCATTTGCATTTCTGCTGCAGCAATCAAACACTGCCTCAGGATTAAATTCCTTGTTCAGAGATGACAGACCTCCAAGTGAAGAACGAAGAGGCAGACGTCTGCCATGTATTGAAAGTCGTATGCTGGGGTCAGGAGGTCCAGGATGGACTGCTCTATTTCTTTGGGGATCCCCACCGATCCACCTGTGGACTTCAAACTGCTCCCAACAAGTCCAGCTACAACAGAATTTTCATTAATTTGCAACTACTGGGATTGATTTTTCCCTCACACTCAATCTCATTCATCTCATAGTTACAATTCAAGCAAAGTTCATGTGGAAGACAGATCCCTGGATTGTCTAAAACAAAGATACAAAGTCAACTCACAAGCCTGAACGGGATTGGACTTATTGAGGGATGCACTAGCTTTGTATAGATGGTTCCTTATTACTTCTTTTCTCTCATCTCTCCTCTGATCCTTCTTGGGGGTTGATGTCAGCTGTCGGTCTTTACGTGGGGAGGGCTTGGGACTCGGCGTCCTCATCGTAGGAGAGGGTCTCCCTGTCGTCTCTGCTTCTCCGTGCTGCCATGGTGATAGCTGCTGCTGCTGCTGCTGCTGTTTCTTGTTGGGCTTTGGACACAACTTGAAGACCAGCTCTTTCACACTTTTGTAAAACCATTCCTAGAAGAAGGGGGAGAGATAGACTGAGACTTGAGAATGGGTTGGTGGGTGAATCTAAAATGCAGGCATCTATGTAGACACTAGACATACCATGGATTCATTAAGCTGAGCAAGACTCTTCAGCTGGAGAGGATCAGACAAAATCTCATGTGCAGGAATTGTTGCATCAGCCAGATACCCAATTAGGATTTCTGCTTCCTTATGGTTCTGGGCTTGAAGATCCCTTGCAGATACCTTGACTGCTTTGTCTTCCTCCTTGATGCTTGCCCAGTGAGGGAGAGACCTGCACAAGACAACACAATTTTGTGGGTTCTCAATTGATACCTATGGGCCTCACAATCAGAGCTCGTCACCAACTTGAGGAAGTCGGCAATATCCTGATCCCTCGCTTTGGTGGCTGAGATTATGCGCTTGTCTTCTGAATCAGGCTGGACGATCCCCCGGTAAGCAGAGTGACATGTTTCCTTGTAGGTGAAGATTGTCTTCTTCAAGATAGTGAGGAACTCCTCAGCATATATAGGGATGCTCTGCATCAGAGTGACCAGTTCCTTGACCCCCTCCAGAACCTCCAATGTGCTCTGCAGGCAGAGGGAAACTTCAAATACAAACACTGTCAAGCTTGTAGAGCCCTACATTAAATGAGAAGCCTCACCTTTAGTATAGGGCGCTGAAGTCCCAGGGACTTGGCCATGTCTGATGACACATCTGCTTTCCATGCATCTGAGCTCTTGATGGCAGCATCAATGCTGGCCTCTATCTCCAATTGTGTTTTTCCCACAAATTTGTCACTTAGGTAGTCCACAAGGAAGACATGAAGGGTGCAAGGCATGCTGTCAATGTAAATTGAGAGACCATGTGTGCACTCATACAAGAAGGCCATTTGTCAATCCCAATGAAGACATAAGAACCATACCTAGAAGGAAGGTTGGTGTCTTGATTGATGATCGAGATGAGATTCATCAGGATTTGAAAGCAGGGAACAATGTTCCTTGGAGATGGGTGACAAACCAGAGTCTTGTGAGGATCCAAGCCATTTGAAATGTGCAAAGGCTGAGCATTGCGAGCTGTCTTCCCAGATGACATAGCCTTCTGCTCTTCTTGAATCGCCAGCATGTGCAGTGCCGAAGTGGAGTGTTCAAATGAAAACAGGGACCCATAGAATGTCCTGTGAACAACGGAGAGGTGAATTCTTCCTGTAAATCCTCCATATCCTGAGATATCACCCAATACTGTGGGCTACTAATCAGGGGTTGCTTTCATGCATAATCATCTTGTGCATCACAAAAAAGATGATAATCCACAGTTACCCATACATTTATGGCATTCATGGATTATTAAACAGTAAATGATTGCCTTCTAGCACCTCTATCCCTCACCTCTACTCTTTCAAGGCATGAAAAAGGAGGTCACAGGAAACCATCAGCATAATTTCATGTTCCCTATAATATGGGTATAAAGGGTAAAGAGATGTCTTTCAAGTTCATATGATCAGCCCTGAATACAAGATATCAGGATCTGCCATAATTAGGAGGCCCCAGCAAACCACATGCACAAATCTGAACTAATGTGACTCTAATTTTTAGTATGATGCTGGGATATATATTACCTTAATATTAGAAGCCCATTAGTTGAGCCTCAGGCATAAGAACCACTGACATTTTTACCATATTTTCAGTACATTTTTACAATTTCTAATATGCCCCCATTTTACAATCATTAATTGATTAAATCAGATGTAAACTCAAAACCTTTCATTGCACTCTTCTATTGCTCCAGTCCTCATCTGGGAAACCCCTACAAGGGAAAATGACTCCTGACTTACTGGGGAGGCGGTTTCTTTCGGGCAAAGAAGAGCTTGAGGTCAGGGTAAGGAGCACCAATCTGAGATGAAGCAGGTTGTGAGGCACTGATAGCAGTACTTGGGCTTCCCTTCAACATCTGGTGTCCTATGATCTTCTGGGTATCTAAGTAGTCTGCCAACAGAAGCTGCGTCTGAAAATACAATTGACATCCAGCACTCATAACATGGAGAAAAAAAAAAGCTCCACAATACCATGGAATAATACAATTCAGCAACTTACCACTGCTTGAATACGTGACCACACATCATCTAGAGAGTAGGATTGAGACTTCACATCCTGCCTGTCGCCAATTGAATCAAGTGCTTCGATGATGACCTGATGCAGTTGCACGATGCGAAGGAAGATTTCAAACAGAGTTTCAAGGAGGTCCACCAGAGGATGCCTATTGGGACGAGGATGACCAAGGACCTGCTGTGATGCCCTCTGGAGGATTGTCAGCAATTCCGTCTGCATCTCCGCCTTCATTGCCTTCCAACACAATGAGCCAATTCTCCTTATTCTGAATGTCATTAATCTGACTATATTACTAATAATACAAATTTTATTATACTGGGTGAAACCCCATCAAGCCCACATTATGTCAAGTGCCATTAATCCAGAACTCTCCTTCATGGACAAATTCTTCAGTCTCTTAACCCATTCAGTGCTACTGTCATGCTGGTGTGACCAGGCCAAGGTCCTCTCCTGGGACCACTGGCACTGGAGTGAACCAGGAATTTTCTCTTGATAGCCCAAGGTCACTACTAAGGGTACTATTACAAGCCAAACTTGTAGAGAATAAGAATGAGACAAAGAAAACAAGGAAATTTTCTGGTCTCAGTGGATGGCCCACCCTCTCCAACAAGAGTAAGCAATTCTGGAGAGAAAAAATTCCAGTCCATCCCACTCACTCCCTCTGTAGGGGACAGAGGAGGAAAGGGGGAAGAATTTTATCTTCATTGGCAAGTTGGTTATGAAAGCCTCCACTTCATTTTGCTCTTCCTTGTGAGGGAGAGAAAAGCATGATGTTGGCATTGAGGATGAAAGGATTCGTGCCATTAGATCAGAAAAGTGGAGCTTTCTTCTCAAAAAAAAAAGGAGAGGTCAGTGGTCACTTTGTCAGATTCTCAAGATGAATTTTTCATCAGAGTGGAGTTATCCCAGACTATCAAAACCCCTGAAAATCTATCAGGTATCCTTAAATCTGGATTACTGAGAATTGCTGTGCATATGTACACAATTTGAGCAAGTATTCATCATAATTGCTCAAAATTTTAGCATAATTAAGGCAATTTCTCAATAACTTGCATTGATGGTCTCATGAAGGTTTCCCAGGAGGCCAAAACATTCCACCATGGAAATGAGGGCTGAGATGGTTTCAGCCTGTGTCTGAGCCAAAGCCTGCTTCAGTTTCTGCTGCTGGGCCCTACCGGAACAAAATATGTTCAGTGGGGACCACTTTACAATGGTCTCTGCGAAGGTCAAAGAGAAGAATCACCAACCGATTGATGGTTTCCATAAAAGAGAGGTTCTGCACTTTCTTCCCCTTCCTACCACTCTTCCTCACACTCCCACACTCCTCAAGTCGACGAGCAAACACAGCATCTGTTGCTTGGATGTAAACCCTCTGCCTCATGTCAGCCAGCAGTGCACTCTGCAATGTCTACAGAAGAAGGTCCAACAAGAAAAAACCCTGAATAATAATTCAAGGGAGAAGCATAGGCTTAGTATAACAATAAGATTAGCTAGCTAAGCACCTGTTGTTTACTCTGAAGTTCCTGTCGCAGTTCTTTGAGGCCTTCAATGTCCTTCAAGGAATTGTTCAGCATGGCCTGAGCTGAAGACAAACGCTTAGTTGCTTCCAGATAATCTTTTTTCATCAGATATGCCTCCACCTCGTGCGGAACATTTCTCACCTTCTCTCTAATGTCACCAAAAGCATCAGTTCCAGCATCAATATACATGATGAAGTTGAATTAATTCATGGATGAGGCAACTCACACTTCTTCCAAGAGGATGATGATGTTGCGCATCTCAATGCCCTCAAGCCAGAGGGTTTTCAACTTCTCCTTCCTGCCTGACAACAGTTCTCGGCATTGCCTGAGGGCATCTTTGATCTCCCTCACATGTTCTAGACTCCCTCCCACCCGGCTTGACACCCCACTGAAGCTCTGATCCAACATCACCATTGTGATCAAAATGATAAGAGAATGCCTCAAGAGACATGGAAAAGAAAAGTTCTTACCTCCATTGTTGCTGAGACATCTTCCCACTTATGAGCAATCATCTGCTTGAGTCGGGTTTCACTCTCCTTGAACTCCTTCTCCAGCTTGGTCTTTTCTTGATCCCGTTGATCATGGCTCTCTGTCGTTGACAGTGCCCTGACCACTGACATCAAAAGTCCCTGGAAAACAAGTCCCTGGTCACTAGGGCCTCTTTAGCTATTGCATGAGAGGAGAGTATAGAGAAACTCACTGCTTGAGCCATTTGTCTTTTCAAAGGAGAACCTGCTTAGAGTGCATCACAGTGACTAGTGTGCTGGAAACAATTGTGAGCTTCTAGGTAAAGCACAATTGCCATACTTGCATCCACATGGTACTCAAGGTATCCTAATTAAAACATAAAATATCAATTATGCCAAACTCTCAAATGACAATAACTGTCTAAAACTAATTCCTAACACTCAAGTAGTCTCTTCCAAATAAATAAGGTGCTGAGCAGGACCCAGAGTATCATCTGGAGCATGGAAGGATAGAATCATGCCTTGCTCGTTCCAGCAAAATTCACTTCCTACAAGTCTGTATTCCAAAATCAACCCAGAATCAAAACAGAAACATTTTTTTCAGGATCTTGGAGAATGCAACAAGTGAAAGAAAGACTGTTTCCATATCACATTCACTTTCTTTTCCGCCCTTTCATTTTCCCTTCAAATTTCCCTTTTTGGCCTATGCGTCCTTCTTTCACTTTCCCCATCTTTCCTGCTTTCCCCATCTTTTTGCCTTTCCCCATCTTCCTGCCTTTGCCTTTCCCCATCTTTCCACCTTTTCCCTTCTTATTCTTCCATGGCTTTTCTTCTCTTGATGAGCTGTCAAAAAGAGCATGGACATTAGTCATTGTCATTGGATCCAGAATAAAATAAAAAAACAGAGACTCACAACTGCTCTTCCTGGACATTGAGCCGAGAGATAGCCTTCTCCTCATCAATCTTGGGCTTCTTTGCTACAATGTGATTCAAGATCTCCAGACTCTTTTTCTTCTCTTTCTTGAGATTTCCCATGAGAGGCTGAAAATGTTGTTTCTTCCCAGTCTTGACAGACTTTTCCTCTGGAAGAGTCTTTGTGAATCGACCCATTCCAATATTGGCCTTACTCGCAGCACCAATCGCCTTGTCAAGCTATGCCCCAAACAATGCCCTCCTAAATGGCTCAATGCATAAATCTACATGCCTGATTTAGAGTACAGTACATACCTCTTCCTTTGGGCGGATATGAATCCGTTTCCTGTTTTGCGAGAAGGCTTCAGATGGTAATGGGGTGATACCAAGGCTGGGAGATTTTCCCTTTGTGGCTCGGGCGATGTTCCTCAGTCTTTGGACTTCATTCTTGGCGATGCGCTCTCGCTTGGCCTCTGCCTGCTTGGCAAATTGATCCTCCATTGGATCCTTACCATCTGGCACCTCCATCACCCAGTTCTTGGTCTTCTCTGCTTTGACCTTCTTGTATCCAAACCTTGGCACCCATTGCTGCAATGAGAAGAGACATTGACTTCTATTCATAAACTAAATGGGACAAAATTCTGAGGAGATTGGACCTTGAGCTCTTCATCCCAGACGAGCTTGGTCTTCTTGCGTTTTTGTATTCCTTTCTCCTTGGCATATCTCTGCCACTTGGTAAGAGGTTTGGGCTTGGGGATGGGCTTCTCTCGAGGAATCCGAGTGGTTCCCTCGGGCAACTTCACAGTCCGCACCCCATCCACTTCTTCACGTGGGAGACTGAAGAATCGGTTCACCAAAAGCTGGGTGTTGTCTCGTCCCAGCTCCAACAGGTACTTCTCTCGATTTTCCCTACGATCCAATAGGAACCATGAAGAGCCAAGAAAGTCATGCAGACAAGAAAGTAATCAGGCATCAAGACACCATACTTGTAGGACTTCAAATCCAAGGGATTTGGGTCTGTGGCAGAGATATTCCCAAGATCATATTCAAGGTCAAGAGGTTTCTCAACTGCAGTTGAATGGATTTCTTCATCTCCAGCATTCAGTCTTTCTAGAAGTTCTTCAACTGTTGACATGATCTTGAGGTCACTTGGCACTTGTCACCTTGATCAGGAAAAAGCATAATATGTTCTTTGCCACAGTGAAAGAAAAACAAGTCAAAGGTAAATTAATAAACTAGTCACAGCTCAAGAATACTGTGTAAAGTTTTGTCACCACCAGGCAGGGCTTTGCTGCCCAACTGGAGGCCAAGATTGACCTCAGTTGGTCCTAGCTTCTTGGGATTTTATCAGAAACAACAAATTCACAGAGAAGACATACACCTCTTTAATAATTGGAAAAGATTTCTTATGAATAATAGAGAATCATCTGGTAAGCACTGATGAAATTTGACACGGGGCCTGTGCATCTATCATGATGGTTTAAGACGCTTCTGCAAAGGGTGATCATAGATCCAATTCTCTCCAACCAAGTGAAACATCTGTAAGCACACAAATTCATGAAGAGGTGACTTTGAAGATTGTAAGATTGACAAGAATGAAAACGAGGAAGAGATGCAAAACAGACCTTAGTCTCCCACTGAATACCCTGTTCCAGTCTTTGTTTTGCTTCATTCCTCTGCCGCTGTTCAAGGAATTGCTTGGCAGCTGTGGCCCTCTGGATGTTGCCCAATTTGAGGCCAGCAGTCACATCCTTCCACAGGCGCCGGGATTCATACCCTTCTTGGTTCTTAATTGGTTGCACGGTCTTCTTCACAGGTGGAGTGGTATGGGTGTCAAAGAAGACTTCCTGCTTCTGTTGGCACAATGCAACAATGTGATTATGGGCAGCATGAACTCTGACAAACAGCAATTACCAACAGAAAGTGGGAATGCCGACATTGTTGTGAGCCCACTTGGCCATCATGGTCCCATTCCATTCACCCATGATGGATAGAAACGGACGCTTGTCATTGGGAGAGAATGCCTCAGCTCCTATACGATGCTTCTTCCCTCCATAGAATGGCTTGGTCAGGAATTCCACATTTGCATAATATCCTGTCTTGGCACAGGTGATGGTGCAACTCCCTCCCAGTTCAATCCAAGGGACTGTCAGGATGGAACTGAATACAAAAATGACAAATAATGAAATTATTTCCATCCCCTTTGAAAATTATACCAAGCAAAAACAAATCCTGATAAATAAGTATATGCAGCACTTATCCATAAAAGTCCATCAAAAAGTGATGAATATAAATCTTATAGGATCACTCCCATTTCCTGATAAATACCATAGCTTCTGACAAATTGATCTTTTGGCATGATGCATATTTGATGAACTGCAAGCAGCATATATATACTTAAGCTAACTCCCACTTCCTTGGAACAGGCAAGGCCCACCTCTCTTTATCACCCAAGTCCTTTTGATGTCAATGAAGAATCTCAGAGAAACCTGTCTTGGTTAGAATTCTAATAAATGGGTCAACTTTGGGTACTTTAACAGTTTTTTATTCTTATCCTTATAAGTTTTGTCACAATTACTGAGGGTGTGCTCTGCCAGGATTATGAGCAGTGTAAGTAGCATGGAGGGTCCTCAACATGGAGAGTTAAAGGGTGAAAATAAACACTGCAGGTAACATGCTAAAGCCAAGGAGTCAGTGTAGTGAATTGAAGTAGACCTGTCAGTGGAGGAAGTAAATGAAAGCAACAAGAGGAAAGACTTATGATGATGAAACGATGGACCATGAGAAGGTGAGCATCAAAGTAGAAGTTGAAGATGAGGCATGATGTGAGGAAGATTACATTTGAAGAGATGTGCATAGTGTCATTATATGAGAGAAGAAAACTGAAGGAGTCCTTGTACCAGAAAAATAGGTGTTGACCTGCAAACAAGGATGAGGATATGCTGTACATCCACAACACCAATAATATATTAATTTACTCCTATGAGGACCACCAAAATTGGTGCTCTACAGATACAATGGAAAATGACTGAAGCAGAACCTTGGATTGACAAGACAATGATCAAGAAGTACAAAAATAATCAGGATGAGAAAAGTTAAATAAATTGATGTTTTAAGAAAATACTCATGCAAACAAATGTGGTAATGGATAAGTAGGAAGTAAGTATTCTACAATAGTAGCAACCAAGCAAAAACACACAGGTGGAAGATTGAAGCAAAAGAAATTGATGATGTTGCAAGTGGATATAAGAGCTAGTAGCTCTACTAGCTCTTATATCCACTTGGATATAAGAACCATACTATGGGGAACTAACATGAATGATTAATGGTAATGAATGGGGTTAGAGAGACATTTATCCAGTGTCCTTGGCTAGAGTCAAGGACACAAGATTAAAGTTGACATCTGCCAAGGACAGAAAGACACTCTTGTTACCTTCAGCACCCATATGTAGAATGAGGTTAATACAGGAGATGTTGAAGGTGACTTTCATTAGGGGATAGGAAGAAAGAGTGGATTTGGGTAAAATGCTGACTGGATTTACCTACACCAGAGCAGACATTGTCAAAAAGAATGGGTCAAGATACCACCCACCTTCCACCCCTCCCTGGCTTCCCCATATCAGGATATGAAAAAAGGTTATCCTCACCACATAGAGCTTTAACACGTTGACAACCAGCCTATTTTTGCTTGTCCGCCGCGTGGGACCACATGCATTTTTTTTTGTCAAAAAATGCATCCTGCCATCAGGACGCATGGTCCCAGAAAACAATTTTNTTTTTTTTGCCGAGTTTTTTTAAAATGTTGAATTTTTTGGAATTTTTATCAGTAATTACGAAATCATAATCTTCTGGAACGTGTGATCGCTAGATACTCGATATCTGTGCACAAGACGTTTTTTGGAACCTGCATCCTGCCATCAGGATGCATTGTCCCACGTGGCAAAAAATCTGCATCCTGGCATCAGGACGCATTGTCGCCAACGTGTTAACCCTTCCACTATTATGCAAAAGAAATCCACCATACCCTGTGCCATAAAAATTGGGGCTGTTTTCCTGAAAACAAAAGTTTGTTTAGAAAAAGTCCCATCATCATAACTAATGAAGATTAAGAATATGTGCATAAATAGTGATGAATAACCTAGAAACAGAGAATTATCACATCCCAAGAACATACTTGGGTTACCATTGACACAAGCCTGAGTATGTACTTGGGCAAACAGCAAAAGGGTTAAGGCAGAACTTCTAAAACCAAGTAGGAGAATCCCTCATTATGCTAAAGTAGGTCAGGCATAGTCCTGGGGAATTTATGCAAAAGGGTATCCAAAAAGAAAGTAATAAATAAATAAGAAACAGGGCAGGAATGACAATCAAGCAGTTATGGATTCTATTCTGGATGGACTTCTATTAATGTGCATTCTACAGGGTGGTGCAAAAGTTGCACACCACAGGGATTCCACTGTTGAACTATAGTATTTTTTCCCCAGGTAAGTGATGGCTGCAAAATCAACAAAAGAAGGGAGGGTGGAGTTTTTTTAATATCTGAAAGGCCAGGCTAAATCGATCAGTTGCTACTGAATTTCATGGAAAACACCCAGAACCAGAACACTGGTTGCCTGATCAATAGGGGCCTTTCTGGGTGTTTTCCATGAAATTCAGCAGCAACTGATTGATTTGGCGTGCCTGGCCTTCTACACATCTGAACAAACTCCATCCTCTCTTTTTTTTTGCTGATTTTGCAGTATCACTTGGGAGAAAAAAAGTATTATAGTCCAACAGTGAAATCCCCTATGGTGCATGACTTTTGTGCCACCCTGTATAACAAAAGTGAGAAATTTCCCTATTTCTTTTCCATTCAGATTGCTCCAGTCTGCTAGAATGCTCAAAACCTTCAAATAGCATGAAAAGTTATTCTTTAACACATCTGTCCAAGCAATGAGAAGAATAATATTCAAAAAAATTAAAGTAATAAGGTAACAAAAGTATAATACCATATATGATGTGAATAGTGTAGTGCTTTCAGCAGGGATAAGAAGTTGAATTTCAATTTTTTAGGCATGTTTAGGAAACTAAAATAAAACTTTAGTAGCCACATCATTTCCAACTAACTCATTCTACCTAAGGTCCATTCATCAATAACAGTAAGTGACTTTAATTGGTCAATAAAATTGGATGCAAGCATTTACATCAGGAAAATTTACCACAATTAATTTAGGGTGGATTTTGAACAGAGAACTATCCAATAATGCTGTTTTATTTCCAGGAAATATCATGTATTTTCCCTGGAATAAAGGAAGATTCCCTGGAAACAGCATTATTGGACAGTTTTCTGTTCAAAAATTCACCCTTAGTATTTTTCTTCATATAGTTCTCAAAGTCATTTCAGAGGTTCTCACTAGTGCCTTTAAGCTCTCAGTCAAAGTAAGCTGATTACAACCCCCTTGGAGATCAGATATTCTCCAAGAACTCAAAAACATTTTTAACCTCTTTTCATGAAAGAAAACACTTTCATTATCTTCAAATTTAGAAATTTTTTCGCCAAGGTATCCTAGTGCTGACTAAAAAAGAAATATATATAAAAACCCTCTATTGAGAAATTTCATTACCATAACTGTTAACAAAAATAACCATGGTTCTAGATGAATGTCACTGACCGGCCATATCCATTGGGGAATGTGATGATGTACTCCTCCTGATGGTCTAGTAGTGAGACACAGCCCTGGCCTATGTTGTGAACCCCAATAGACAGCCCTAAGAACTTAGACTTGGTCCAAATGTGAGCATTAAAGGCTATGCGCTTCTCCAGATGTTCTGCATACATGGCTGAAACTGGACAGATGGCCAAGCAGTGGTAAAAACTTATTCCAAAAGAATCTAGTCCAAAAAAAAAAGGGTTAAATATTTCTTACCAGGAGGATGATGTGACACTTGCTCAGCAACAAATGACAACTGATTTTGTGTGGCTCCAGGAAAAGGCCCGTCTGCAACAACATCTCCTTCCTTGCTCACCTCATTCTCTGTTCCTGGGATGTTCCAGTAGCACCTGAGAAGAGAGCAAGTACCTCCATTGAGATGCAGGTACATCAGATAGAACTGGGATTCTCACAGCATTTACTCCACCTGAAAATTTCTCCCAAAATGGGATTGTATGGCTTCTTGGCGATTTCACCTTTCCTGCCTGCATGGAATGCAGACAGGTACCAACGTAGCACAGCCACCAATCGATCTTTTGGAGTCTCCAATTCCACAATCCTGCAGCATCATCAATTTTCACTTTCATGAAAGACCTCATACAGAAAGGGGATGAATGAAGAAGGGAGAAAAGAACAAGAACATACTTGGTGAAATAATCTGGATGAGCAAAAAAGTCAGCATACATCTCTAGAAGGGACCTCCGTTCAAGGATGAAAGTTGGGAGAACCACTTTGGTCAAGTCCATCCCAATCTTCACCTGACCAAGCAAGTGCATTATCACTGATCCATGCTGCTCCACACTTCCCACTATAAGAGTTCACATCATAGAAAGAATGATAAAGAAACAATAGTCTTCATGACTTTTGCTCCTTTTTTGTTTTGAATCAAAGAAACCTGAATGGGAAATGCCACAGAACTGTGAAAATCTAGCAATTCTGTGAGGTATATTCCAGAAATACGTGTTCATCTTCTACCAAAGGAAAAGTAGCAAAAATTAATACTGTGATCATTCTATAAACAATCCAGAAAACTCCATGAATGACATAATCGATAACTAAATTTTTAAATGAAAAACTACTTGCACTGATTTTTAATCTAATCTGGGCAAATAACACTAGTGATATGCATCATCATGAGATAACTCTAGACCCAGATGCCAAGGAAAATCATGGAGTCGAGGAAAAAAACATGAACTCACAGTCTTCTTCAGAATCATCCTCGTACAATCCTATGAAGGGGAGAGAGAAAATTTTTATTTCAGTTGTGTAACAAGAGAGGAAGTCAAAGCAAGTTCTCGAATTCTTATTCTTTCAATAGCTTTATTTTTTACAATCAGGGGCAAGACTTTTTCTCTTTTTTACTTCACAGTTACCATTGTAACAAACAGAGGTATATGAAAGGGGCAAACATGTCTGTCAAAGGTTTCTTCAGTATTGTTAAAATAAATTAATTTCAGCTGAGGTGAAAAGCTGAAAAGGGACAATTCCAAAGGAATATGGTTTTTAAAAAGCAAATTCAAATTACAAAATTGCCACTGATATGAATAAGATTCCCATAGATGCACAGGTGTCTATGATAAATAGATTTATTGCATTTTCATAAAAAATGATAATAAAAAAATAAGCAGACCACCTGGAAAGGATAAGGCAAATTGACTTAAATTAGGCAATTCCTTTATATTAAACCCTTCTTTATTCACCTTATTTCATCCCCATGTTCACTGTGCAGGTGACTTTTTAATCAAACTTCTGAGAGCAAGAGACATGATATATTATGGAAGAAACCATGACATTAACAGTTCAACAAATCTTGAGATTCCATTGGGGCTGGTTATTAAAAAAGCAAGCAATTGTTGATCAATTAACCAATTAATAGACTGCTTTGTCACTCTAATCAACCCATTTCCTCTGAGAATTACACAAATGGGAGATGACAAAGCTTTTTTTCCTTCTCACCAAGCTCTTAGGCAATATATAATTCAGTCAAGCAATAAAAGTCTACACTCACCAAGCCAGCATCTTATTGGATCGTTATATCAAAACCTATCATTTTTGCTCATTTCAAGGATGCACACTATGTAGTAAAATCAGAGGGGAAAAGTAGATGATCAGGAGACTGATTAACCTTTTCCACTCGAATTTTTGCAAGAGTCAATGTACCAATGGGCGAGTATACTCGCCCATTCGAGTGGAAAAGGTTAAAATTTGAGGAATATTTTTTAATCATAAACTAGACTTCATCAACTAAATCGGTGGATTCTTTTAACATAATTCACAGCACTAGTTTCCACTAATGGTCATTTCTTCTATTAAAGTGAACTGCAAGGATACCCAAATTACTCCGATTGACAGAAAATTATGAACCATATTGTGAACAGAAAGGAGGGGCTTTTATGGAGCAATAAATGTCTTCAAATTACCAGAAGGTGACTTCATGCTCTTTTACAATTTAGAATAGTATTGTGTTATACATTTCATCGTATAAGACAAAGGAGAATGAGAATTTGATATCAATGTACTGAGCATTCAACCATAAAAATTTCTGAGGTGAAAAGAGGCAACATCTGCCCATCTTTCCCCACGAGTCCTACCCTTATATAAGATCCTCATGTATATCTTTGCACAAGACACATTTGAAAATTAATCCCAGAGATAGTACCAAAGTCTTTCCCCTATTCCTATGCTAAACTTTTCCATTATCCTATGCCAGCAAGGCATAAGGCAAAAGATCTCAGTGATTATGTACCAACTGACACCAAAACTGATTCAGGGCAACTCTAGAATTTTCATTGCATAATGAAAAATTATGCCACAGCATAATCTCCAGTTTTCATGAAACCCTTGCTTCAAGCAAGGACCATTTTTCTTCTTTTTGGGTGGGCTTTCTTCACACAGAATGTATGGCCTTTACTCCTCACATGTACCAATTACAATTAACCTTGCAGATATAGGCAACTTCTCTGTTAATGTCAGGGAGAACTTCCCAGACCATTAATTGATACCTACTTGTTCTGAAACCACACCAAGTTCTTGCTTTCATTTCCACTTTAAATCTACATTATTCATCAACTGCAGGAAATTTGAAGTGATGCATGCCACCAACTTCCATTTTCTTAAAAATAGCATTCAAATGTTGAGATGCCCATGAACAGGCATTAGCAGGAGGGATGATTGAGGCTTAAGGCTGCCATCATCACTTGGAAAAATTTTCAGTTGTAAATTAAAGCTGACAGCTGTAACATATATGATTTGTAGTAGCAAACCATCTTGATAATAAGGACCACAGCACTGGCTTGCATAAACCCCTTCAAGTAAGGAAAATTCTACAGATTTTCTACCATGTCTCATCAGGGAATTATAAGAAACACAATCAAATGGAAATTTTCAACACACCAGGTAATTTTCTTTTTGCACTATGTACTTTTACATGCTATGCAAGTGAACAGGTCTTTTTTTATTAAGATAAATACTATAAAGACAATCATGGATAAAGGCAAGAAATGAGAGGGAAGGACTTACCATCATAATCTAAGGAGTCTAGAGGATTATCCTTGGAAGAAGATGCCAATGTGCCTTCTGGGAACACTGTTGCTTCTTTCACAGACATGCTGTCAAAAATTCAATCAAGATGTAAGATGGCATGTCTAGCAGGCTTTCACAGAGAAGTCTCAAAAGAGGTCTAATGATATTGAAACAGTTTTCACGAGATCACATGACTATAAAGGACAGTTACAATCTATAGCTGCCCATGTGGAATTTATAGCATAAGTGACAGGGTATAGCATGATAATCAAGCATAACTAATTTCAAATGCCAAAATTAATGTGAAGGACTGTCACATGACCATGAATAAATTCTAACAACTTTAGGCTCTCCTGGTGTGATTTCTTCTTTGATGAAGACAGCCATAGTATAGAGCCTTAGGCTTCCAAAACCAACATGACTTTCAGCTATAAAACAGCAATATCAATGCATACTTCCATTAAGGAGACTGAAAACAAAAATTATAACTCTGAGGCCACATCATGTGCACTGTGATATAATGCATGGAGAACAACTGCTGCACCCCCCCCCCCCCTCCCCCCCACAAGTTACTCTGGGCACTTTTATATTATAAAATGTAATAAAATGTTCTACTTTGGCCACACACATTGCACAGATGCAGAATTCAAATTTAGACTTTGAACTGGGAGAAAACTCAAGAATTATATGTAACATCCAGGAACTCCAGTCCTTTAAGAAAACTTTAAGAAATAAGAAACCTTTCCTTCTAATATCTATTGCTTTTGTTACTAATACCATTATGAAGAAAACTTCACATTCACAAAATAGATCTCTATATTTTTGTCCTTTTTAGAACTAAGAACAAAAAAGAAGGATGAAGGGTCACTACAATTATCTTCATAGAAATAGAGCAGACCAGGATACCCAGAAACTTACATACATTCTTAGAAATCACTATTGTATGCTTCCTATGCTATCCCATTTGATCCAGTCACAAGAAGGAAATGCAACTCTGTTTCATGGAAACAACAGTGCCATGCAGTGTTAGAAGATTATGCACTGCACATATCCTATGGTCTGCTTAAGCCAATTATTGGTGATTATAACTTTAAATTCCACAACTCTCCAATCCAAATGCAATATATATGCATGGAATTACAATAACCACGTAGACAGGAGAGAGTGACTTACGTGTTGCCATGACTGGCAATGGGAGACTGTTCAGCATCAAAGAAGTCTTCATCCTCGCTGCTGGAGTACGAAGTGGGAGGGATGGAGATGATAGAGAGTGGGAGAGACTCTGGGCATTCCACTCCTTCCTCTCCTTCCTCTATCCCCGTGGTCACTTCCTCCAACATCATTGCTGCCAGTCCACCCATGGACTTCTTGTCTCCATCTGTCATGATAAGGATTTCCAACTTCATTCAGGCCATTCATTTAACTCCTGCATCAATGAAGCTGCTGCATACCGTCGGAGAGATTTGGGAAGTTAGTGAGGTCTGGGATGGAGCCAGGCATGGGGGTATAGACTCCATTCACAGGGTAAGATGCATTCTGGAATCAACCAAGTTATGCTGCAATTATGCCAGATCAATAGCTGATTGTGAGGAAGCAATGCAAGATAAATCATTAAGAAGCCTTTGGTTCACCTTGGCAATTTGCAGAAGAATCACAGAATGTTTCACTGTTTCCAGCATCTCCTAAGAATACAGGCATTCACATATTATCAGGCAGCCAAGACCAGTGGTAAGACTACACGAGCAGTTTGTAGGGCTGAAGGTACATGTCAACTACATGAATATTACAGTGACTTACACATGTCCTTTCTTTGATGACTACAGCAGCTTCTCGCTCAGCTGAATCAGATAAGTCCTCAACTTTATCCTCAAATTTCTGGAAAATGGAAGCAAAAAAATTATAAAACCAGTGGTTGGGTAAAAGCACCTTTCCTGGGAGCATACCCTAAACTACTGAGGGCTTTCATATAAACTAAACCAGGGATGTCAAACTCAAATCGATTGGTGGGCTGCATTCCTTAACCTGCAGATGCCTATGGTCTGCACCCATAATTTTTTACAGAAATTTGTGCTAACAGTCAATCCAAGCAGAAATTTTAATAACAGATGGAGGGCTGGATCTGGCCTGCTGGCCATATGTTTGACACCCCTGACCTAAACTAAGATATTGGGGGCTATACATGGTCAGGTGTCATCATCATGCAGTATGATAAAGCAAACTACTAGGTGCAAGATGCTCTATTTTCATAAATGCATAATTACTCCACAAGTTCAAATTACTCATCCCTCTCATCTAAATGCCCCTCCCCCAATAACCTCATCTAAGATCCAAATAAAGCTCTAGCATCCTTTTAACATTGACTGCCCATCCCAACCAATATACTATTGGTTCTGCTGCCATTGATGACTAGTTAACTGGACATGGGCAGCCAACATGTTAAAAGATTACTAAGGAGCCTCAATTTGGCCAGTTACTATGAGGATTTGCTATCCAATTTTGCCTTCACCACCAAAGTTCTTAACCATCCACATTCTAGGGGGTCTCCCTTCCCAAGCATTCCAGGGTTTGCATTTCAAAAATAAATATCTAACTTGGTTGGTTTTGAACTCCAGTCTCCTTCCAAGCTCACTACCAAGCCACTCACCTACCTGTCACTTTCAATTTAAAACTCTGAAGGAAAAAAACATGCAATGCATATACTCCATGGCCTATGCTACCTAAAAAAAAATGTTTCTCATAATTTTCAGCTCTTGCCTGTGCACAGAGCACATAATTCACAGGACTGGAAAAACTGATAAGTGAATTCCATACTATATAGCCTTTAGTGAAAATGGCTTTGAGGCTAGCCACTGCCCAACATATCATTAACGAAGCCAAATTTAGAAACTAGGTAACAGGATGACCATTACTGCACCAAACACCCAAGTACTTCTTGACCCTTACCCGTGCTTGAGAAATCAACAACTGCAGGTATCCATCAGCTTCCACCAATTTCTTTTCGAAATCCTCCTGAGTCGGGATGGGTTTCCGTGGGTCCCACCGCTGTATGACAAAGGAAGCCATTCTCGTGAGTTTCAATTGCATTCATTCAAGGAAGAATGAATTTGCATGTGTGCAGCCAGCATCAAGACCAAGAAAAAAGGCAAACAAAGTGATCTCCCTCACCCGATTAAGCTGTGCGTGCCTCAGTATGGTATCTTCAAGTGCCCGTACCCATCGATCCTTTTCGTCTGGGTCCCTCGCCTGGAAGTGGAACATCTTCCCATCCACCGTGATGGTGAACGTGGCATCGTCTTCCTCGTCGATCCCGAGAACGGCTGCTTTCAATCTCACACATCCCCTACGCACCCCTCTCATCATCTTCTCTTTTGACTGAAATGTCAAAAGGCAAGAATAGAGAAATTAAATAATGCCACAGTATAGATGGTTCCCTACAGGTAAGCTCAGTCTCCAGTTGCCTCTTGTTACTGTCTGTTATTATTCTTTACCCCCCCTAAAAACCCCTCTTGTAGCCCCACCACCCACATGGCTGACATCCCCCATGTTCATTGAAGTATCCTTCATGTCCACTAGTCTGGCATGCTATCATTGTCTTTTCATTCATCACTGACATACCAATTAACATCCAAAAGTGGAGGGAGAGGCAGTCAAGTAAAAGAAACAAGCCAAAGGCCTATTTAAGAAGGTACTTAAGGCAACTTTCTTCCTCGGGCAAAAAAAGTAACTTCAAGATTTTCAGATGAATTCACTCTCTGTGAACTCTATCCTGACTCATTTAAGTTTGTCCAGATTCCACTGATTCATCCCATTGCAGGCTGCACTGCAGTGAAGATGAAGGCTCATCAAAAACTCATAATAGGCCTCGGGTCACCAGTTTTAGAGGAAGAAAGTTACAAGTTCGCGCTTCGACGGCGTGGCGGAAGTCAACATATTGCTCATTTTTAATTAAAACCGTTGCACTCTCAAAACACAATTCTTGAAAGCTCTTTAAGCTACACGAGAGAGTGGCCTCCTTGATTACGCTTCATCTCTAAATCGCCGTCTTCGCAAACCTACTCTCGCGATTTGTCAACGGTGCTTCTACAATTCGTCGTGGGCCAGTGTGAAACCTGACGCTAGCCTAGGCTATGCTCGTTGATGCTCCCGATCGGCCTGGTCCAAAGTGATAGCATACGGTTTCGTGAATAAACGGGGAACTAACAGTATAATACGACAGGAGTCCAGCATTGTCGTCGAGGACGAACCACCGATATTGCCATCCCTGCATGACATTCGTCCACTTGCTGAGCGGCCCTTCCATCATGGAAGTGGCCATGTTTTCCTCCCACGAGTGGAGCCTGAAGTCCTGTCCCCACTCGCACACGCAGGGTCTGGATCGCCTTGCGGGCCAGTCGGGCGCTTGGGACCTGCGAGGTTCCATCTCCATCCTTTTTCCCATGTTAATGTTGCCTGCGAATCGGTCAACAGCGGTCAAAATTCTCTCTGGCAACCCTGGAGTCGATCGTCTCTTCATTCCTGACCACGATCGGGAAGCTCGAAGATGAGAAGGAACTGGATCTCCGCCTTGCTGTCATCGGAGATACTTTTACTGTCGTCCGGGCCTGCATGAACGAGATAACGTATTTTATTTCCTCCCTGATATCGTCGAATGAACGTACAATCGAGATATCTCCTCGCTTCCATCGACATACATGCCATTTGCCTTCATATTAAAAAAAAAACATTGAGAATCAAATTAGGAAATTTGCGAATTTCTCACAACTGCACGAATCAAGTACAAATACCGAGCAGACGTGACATTTCATACGCAATTATATCCTATTGGGAAACGACAGTGCTCCTATTCTTGAATTTCACGTCCCAAGGTAGGGAGAAAAGGCACCCCCCGATACAACGGGCATCGCACAGCAATAGAAACAACGGCCACTCCCTCCCCCGTTTCCGTTTGCAAGGCCCCTTCTCGAGCATCCTTCTATCATCCTGACATCCTTCGGCGCCGCCTTGTCTGCTTCAGAGGCGGACGCACGCGTCATGTTTTATTTTGTTTTTTGGTTCCCCCCCCCCCCNTTCTGTTTTTTTTTTTTTTTTGTTCCCCCCCCCCCCCCCCTTTTTCTACTTGTGATATAAGGTAAGGGATCGTTTGAATTTTCAACGCCTGGGTGAAAAGTGACCGAGCCGGTTTCGAAGTGCTTTTCAGAGACTGATGAGAAAGGGGCCATAGGCGTCGACTTCTAAAAACTATTGGGGGAGTTCCTAATGCCCCTGAAATAACATTGACGGAATTATTCCAGGATCCAGCGATACCGGGTAGCCCAGTATTATTATGGTAGCGAAGTGACGAGCAGGGCGGGGGCGGGGGGGGGCTTTGCGGGGTTTGCTGGGCTTGGCTCTTTCACCTTATACCCTTATGTGGTGACACAGGGATCCCCCACCAGTTGAATCTCTGTCTAAACAGAATGGAAAATCAAGTTTTTAATTTCTTTCGGTCATTTCTTTTGTTTCCAATTTTCCATGTGCCATACTTATGTTGTAATTTGGCCATTCTTGGGGGGGGGGGGGGGGGGTGTGTGCTGCTTGACCCTCCCTAATGTGTCAGTATTCTGTTTCTAGTGAGGGAAGCTGCTCTGTCTCATTCTTATCGCCTTGCAAGAATGTAAACCTGTTTCACCAAACAGGTCCCTCCTTAATTGCTTCAGGAATCACTCTCAACTCAACCCAACTCTATTTCCTTCACCTCAAGAACCAGTCGTAAAATAAATCACGAGCAATGCTACAATGCCACAATGCTCGTTTTGCTACAGAGCACCTCTGCGCATCACGGGGAGCTAGCAACAGCTGAATATACACAAGGTCTGAATACAAGTTCACTCAAGGGCGGGGATGTCGAGTTAGAGTGAGACGGATTAAGCAACGTCGATATGTTAGGCTTCTTCCAGGTGATAGAGAAGAGAGCTTGCACTACCGCCGATGTAACAGCCGAACAAATGAACACAAGTAGCACAAGAATATCCGAGGCAAACATCAAGTATAGAAACCAACGTGCAAAGTTATTGTGGGACCTTCGTCCAGGTACGTCAAGACGTGAACAAGATCCTGATAACATCATTTGCAGTTTTCTGAGTTGTTTCTCTGAAAATATGCCAGGAAATTTTCTTCTGGAAAGAGATCGCAAAGTATCATGAAATGCAGAGCGTCAATCAATATCTCTCAATTTTTGAAACTGAAAACTAGACAAAATACTGAAATAAATAGATAAGTATTTTAAGCCATAACAGCAAATTAAAAGTTTAAATTTTATTCATTCTTTCATATTTATTGATAACTCCAATATCGCCGTGGGTATATCCATACAAAAACCCACGTATATGAGAATGAGACCTGATTCATGAAATATCGAGAATTCCACGGACAATGCATAATGAATGATCATATCCTACCGTCACCGATATCGGCGGACGCTTATTCACTTCTTTCGTCGGAAACTGCGCGAATTCTCAAAAATCTGTAAGAAATAAAAAAATAAAAACTGCATTGTTTCAGGTAATCACTTGATCACTTGAGGAACTCGCTGCCTTTCGCACGAAGAAATTTCGCTGTTTCACTTGGGACGGTCCAGGTTGGAGTTTGCCGAGGCAACTTCTTCGATTTAGGGTTTCTTTCACGACGAGGAGTTTCGCAAGGCAACAGCAGATGATTGAAGTTACATGGAATTTTTAAGCTTAAAAATATGCTAGAAATATTACACCGTGTAATGCCTTATCGCCAATATTAAACCTTATTAATAGAGTACCCTAATACCAATATTATACGTTATTACCACGCTTTGAGCAGCGCAGCACTCGAAACCTCGGAACGGGAGCCCACACGGATGGAGCGAGGATGAGAGCCAAATGCTTCGCATGGTCGGACTGGCAGCTTCGGCGTTCGACATGCTTCCCGCGTGCAAATACAGGTGCGGCGCTCTGCCTGCTTTCCGGGGGTGGGGGGATGGGGGAGGGGGAGGGGGGGGGGGGACATTCGCGCTTGCAGTTGGCGAGGTGCGGAAGTAACCCATTCTTTCACACGAAAGGGAAAAAAAACTGTATTTCTTGGGTTAATTCCTAATCCGTAGGTTTGATCCCATTCATGAACTTGGTAAGGACGCAAAATAACTCTTTCGTTATGCATTTCCGGTTCCAGATAGAATTAGCTCGTGGCGCAAAATGCTCTATCTGCAATTGTACGACTTGATGTCTCAACCCTTCTCGATGAAATGTATCCCTCTTGCATCACGGGAAAGATAAAGCGCAACATTTTACATCCTTGAGTCATGGAACTGCTATTGAGTATGCTTGAACTAGCCCCCTCCTTCCCTTCCCCCTCCCTTCCCCCCTCCCCCTTTGAGCAAGAATGAAAATACTGTATGTTACTCTCCGGAGGGGGATAGATGGTTCCTGAGAGTGCTCGTTTCAAAAAGCAATCCGGGGAACACCATTGAATCCCTCTATAGAATATACAGGGTGGCCCAAAGGCCAGGCATCATGGGGGATTTCACCGAGAGAAAAATTGTCTTGCTAGTAGAAAACGTCGAAAATGCAAAACGTTTAAAATGAAGAATCATCAAAGCTCGTTTGAAGGACTTGAAGACACATCTCGATTTCGTCCCGAGTCGGCGCAAAGAACCGTAACACGTGACTCACGATGAACCTGTCACATACAAACGCGGAGAATCCGGCGCGCGAGTGGACGGCGACGCCCAGCGACATCTCCCGCCGAGCAGAGGCACTGCGACGCACCTCCCCGAGAGTCAGCCCGAACCGCACGGTCATTCCACTCATGGAGGTCGCGCGGGGAAGGACAGCGACGCGTCCGATCCCATTTCCCCTTTCCCCCTCGACTCCCTCGACTCTTCCTTGCCGTCGTAGGGTAACGTGGAATGCCCTTCGAGACCGATACAGAAACGGGGTTGACGTTGCGGCCATGGATGAGGATTCGACACACTGCAGTTCAAAAGCCCTGGAGCACGATTTATATGATCCTTTTTTAAATTTACTCATAAGTCATATGCGGTTAAGGCGAAGTCCTCCCCCCAAAAGCATTACGATCCAGAGACCCCAGAAGTCCTTTGAATGCATCTTGTCTCTGTGTTGGAAAGGTCGCAGACCGATCGAGATGGCCAGAGAGCGTAATTTAGCCTCACCCAACGCCCAGGCCTGAAACCTCTAAGTTCCATGTCACGTCCATGTCACGTCTATGTCATGAGATCTGTAAGCCCCGAAAACGAGCATTCGCCCCTCTTTCTGCTTTCGGTCGGGCATGTTTCCGCCCTCTTCTTTTACGTAATTCATGAAAGCGTTTCCCTTCGGGGGAAATGTTAATACGTTCCTCCGGGGTTATACCACGGGATTCCCTTCTTGTTGGAAAAACGAAAGGAGATGAGCTCTTCATATTTTTTATATTCTCCCCCCCCCCCCCAACATTTATCGAGGCTTAGTGAACTTTTCCATAAATATTGCGAATTTTAACGCCATCGATGTTTAGATTTTTTTTCGCCGAACTTCAAGCAGACATCTTCGACAACATTCAATACATACTGCGACTCAATCCGAATGCAAATCCGAAGCATCGAATCAGGCGCACCGCGTGATCTCTCAAATCTCAAGTTGGGAAAAAAAATCAGGAATGAATTGCGTCCATAATCATCC